CAGAGGTAAAGTTACAGGCACGTACGTAGCACCGTGCTGGGCTACGTGTTTCCTTTTCTCTTGTTTGTTTTTGTTGTTGTTGTTGACATAGGTGCTTCGTGCTGCTTAGGCTGGTCCTGAACTCCTGGACTCTGACTATCCATTCCTGACTCAGCCTTCCAAGTAGCTAGGGCTGCAGGTGCCACTGCACCTCACTCCTTTATTCCTTGCTACAGATTGCATAATACTGTGTTAGGGTTTTAGTAGAGAAAATAGATATAATACAAATATACAAATGCGTGAAGAATTACAGGATCGGAGTCGATGGTCGGCTGCAGAATTGGATGAGGAAGTGTGCAGAGGGTGCCTGCATGCTAGAGGCGAAGGACTCACTTCAGTGTCCTGTGCAAGTCCGCACTAGCAGGCCGATGGGTCTGCGACAGGAGGCTGAAGATCCTGTGCTGCAAGTCTGAAGGATCCAAGGCAGAAGCTGAAGAGTCTGCGCCTAGAGCTGGGAGATGATGTCCGAGCTGTAGCTGCTCCAAAGAAGGGGACCTCGTCCATCCTTCCTCCTTCCCTTTTATGCCATCCAGGAGATGAGCCACCCTTGGGTATAGAATTGCTTAGCCATGTTAGTCAAGCTTATAAATGTCTCAGATCGACAGTCAACTGCTACAAATACTTATAGCTCTGTTTCCACATCAACTAAGGAGGCTTCCTGTGTTCCTTATGCGGAAGTCTGGATTTATTGCTGAGAATTAAACATCACATTACAGCTGGGAGCTTTAGTCTGCCATAGAGTGAGCTGTGGGAGTACAAGCATATTGTCATACTGAAGACAGACAGGCAGTCTGTGGTGGTGGGAGGCCTTGTCCTGCATGCCTCGATCCGTTGGGACAGGAGGCCAGGCAGCGCCTCACCCTCTGCCCACTCTGCATGGGGATTTTGGAGAGAATACATGGGAAGGAAGGTTTGAGATGCCAGCACATTGAATGATCTGGTAAAAAACTGAAAAAAGGGCCATATGTGAAAGATTCTAAATTAGGAAAATTGAATAGCCTGGTTAAGCAGGAAGTATTTGAGCCCTGTGACAGTAAATTTATCATATAAGTGGTTACAGTGACTGCACAAGAGAGGTGGACTTAGGACATCTCCTTGGAGAGCAGTACAAACTCCATTCCATATGTCTTTGCAGTGGCTTAATTGTGCCAAAGAAAACCATTATAAAACTTGTTTGTTTTCTTGGATCTGCCTTGTGTTGGGTGCAAAAATATCTTTGCTATTTTTAGAGGCTTCTCATCCTGCTGTGCGTAGTCTAAAGTCTATTACAGGGTGAATAAACAGTATGACATTCATTATTTTCAACTTTAGTCCTTGTGCGAGGATTTCTGTTCTAAATATGTAGCTCATAAACCTCTTACTTTTTTATCCTTGAGGAGAAAACTTAAAAGGGATAGGAGGAAAAATTAGATCAATAAAGAAGAGAAAGAGATTAAAAGCCTAGCTGGAGGACCAAGGAGGATTCCCCGAGCTTTGGGAAACTGGTGAAGAAGGAGGGAAAGGAAGACAGAAAAAGCAAAAATGAGAAATAAGCAGAACAAAAAAAACCTAAAACACAATTTTTATACATGAAAAAACAAAATCAAGAATAGAGGGGGGGAGACTCCGGGAGAACATGGCAGACAAATAACAGCAGCCACAGAGGCTCTCTGAGATTACCAGTTTAGAATCCAGGAGCGGTGCCGTGTGAGGAGTCCTACGTGAGGGGAGATGTACCCTGCAGACCCAGGAACGAACTAAGCTGAGAGAAACCAACTGGAAATGCAATCCTGATGCTATAACAGAACAGATAAAATCTCAGTGGGGAAGCTGGATCCCGCACCACTGGAAGCCGCAATTTGAATTTCCTGCTGCCAATACTGCATCCCAATCCGCATGGCAGGGAGAGAGAAAGCTCTGAGAGCTGGAATCGGCGAACCAAACAGCGTTGAGAGCGGGACTGGCAGGGAGCTCTGCATCGACCTGCGGTGAGTGAGAGAAATGGGGACCCTTTCACAGACTAGGAGGCTCCAACAGAGGACATTCTGGGAACGAGCAGACTAGCCGGAACAGGGCCCTGCAGTGACTTTAGTCGCATATTCCCCTCTTAAGCGGGAGTGGTGGGTAGTGCTTGGCCTGGTGACACTGCGGACTAAGATCCAGTAGGCTAGCCCAAATCAGGTCCCTGCGCCTGGCGGTGCACCCTTGCAGTGAAGCATTCAGTAGGTTGACCTGGAGGGGCGGGCCCAGCAGAGGCTGCCCAGGTCTATGTCTCCCTGCATTGGGCGGGAACACCTAGCCGGTGCAATTCAAACAAACTGTAACAGAGAAAGAGGGAAAAAAAAAACTAGGCCTCCTATATACACTTGTATGGAAGGAACAAAAAGTATGGGAAAAGGGAGCAACAAGAAAGGGTCCTCAGTCCCCAATCCTGAGAACACTGATCCAGGAAAGGTAAATGCAAAAGAGAATGAGGACAGAAAACATGCAATATCAGAGACGGCACCTAAAAACATAAAGTGATATTTCCAGAGCCTCATAGACAAGTTCAAAAATGAAGTATTTAATGAAATAAAGCAAGAAATAAGTAGAATAGTTAGACAAATGCTAAGCACCGCCCAAGAAAAAACAGATGGTGGAATGGAAGAACAGAAAAAAAGGGGAGAATTGTTTGATGGAGAAAATAGAGAAAACATAGAATATGGGAAGCAGGTTCAAAGAGATTACTAGGAAACTAAAAACTATTGAAAGCTGGCATAACAGTTTGAAAGAAACTAAGGATAGATTATCAGAACTGGAGGACAGATTTCTAAGGTGGGAGCATGAAATGAAAAACTTCTTAAAAATAACAAGAAAACAAACAGCAATAATACAAAGGCTAGAAGATGATAAGAGGATCTATAACTTAAGAATTAAGAACATAAAAGAAGAAGTAGGGACTCAAACAAATGAACTACAAAAGCTATTCACAGAAATAATCCAGGAGAATTTCCCTAATTTAGCAAAAGGTAAAGATACTCAGATGTATGAGGCATACAGGACCCCAACCACCTACAACCCAAACAGAGCTACACCCAGGCATATAATAATCAAAATTCCAGAAATCCAATATAAGAACAGAATACTAAAAGCCATCAGAGACAAGAAACAGATCACTTACAAGGGAACACCCATCAGAATTACAGCAGACTTCTCGGCACAAACCATCAAATCACGAAGAGCGTGGGGAGAAATAATTTAAGCTTTGAAAGATAATAACCTCCAGACAAGATTGATATATCCTGCACAACTGTCCCTAGAAATTGATGGAAAAACAAGGTGCTTCCAGGATAAAGAGGAACTAGGGGAATTTGCAACCACCAATTCAACTCTACAGAGATTACTGCAGGATATTCTAAAAATGAAAAATACCAAGACTCCAGAAACAGTGGCAGAGCAGCCACAATGAATGGAGCAGAAAGCGAAATGAAGAGGACAAACTGACAACTAATGACAGAAAAAGAGCTCAACAGAAATGAGGCAGAGAAGGTTGGATGGCAGGAACAGCCATTTTGGAGAAAATAAGACATCATAATAGGTAGTGCTGATTTAATATCCTCTTGTTTTGAAGTCCCATCAAGCTTTTGTTCTTCTGTATCCATCGGTTTTAACGTGTTGTATCTTACTGGATTTTATTATATGTGATAATATAAACAAAAACTTTTATAGACAAGGAGATTATACAAAAACCATTGTTCATTTTCTGTTAGTTGGTTCTAAATACCCTGTAATACTGTCATTCTCTTGAATGGTTTTACATTGTTTTGATATGTTTGTTGCTAAGTATACGAAGTTACACCCAAAGATTTTAAGGGAAGAGACACTATGGTAACTACTTTTATGTCGGGATATCTTGTGGTGAAACACTATTTTGCTTAAATGGCTATGTTTTGACCTGCGCTGTTTTGTTGTTATGCCCTCTTTTTTTTTTTTTATCTCAATCTCCTTTTTATTATCTACTTTTTCATTTTTATCCTTTCAATTAAGGGAAAAATAAATTTAAAAATAGCAGGATATATTATAGTAACCCACTTTGATTTCCTATTCACTTGATTTGAAACTCTGTATTGCTCTCACCATCTTGTTTTGACTGATTTTAGTCTATTCTGTTACGCTTGATAGTACCAAGTTTGAAAGTATAGGCAACAGCTATGAAGACAATAAGATTCATTGTGATGCCCATTCTGGTTGACTATTATCTTCTTTTGAAGTCCTCTAATGTCTCCAATGTTTTGATTTTATTGGTCTTATTCTTTACTGTTTTGTTCAATTTTATTATAACTGATGATATAATTCTTTTTAAGATAACAAGAGGCATTATGGTAACCATTGTGGATCACCTGGTATTTTGTTTTTACATTATGTATTATGTCCATCCTTTTGATTTGACTGACTCTGTCCTGGTTCGTCACATTTGGTTTTACTTTCTTCAAAAAAAAAAAAAAGTAATAAGAACTGTGGGAGCAATAAAACCCAAAATGTGTAATTGTCATTGTACAAAAGAAAGGAAAAGAAAGTTCTCCAAAAGATATAACTGTATATATATTTAAGTGTATAAGACAGATGACCATATTACTGAATTTTGTTGGATCACTGAACAGAACTGTTTGCAGTCTCACTGTTTGAAAGTCCCCTTTATATGCTTTAATTCTGTAACTTCAACAACTATTTCTAAGATGACAATATGTAATTAACTAGTGATTTCCTACTAGTGTTTATTTTTTCTGAAATTCTGTATAACTTGTACCCTTTTTCTGTTTTTTTTTTCTTTTTTCTCCTTAAAAAAAAAAAAAAAAAAAAAAGAATAGAGTGTGGGAAAAAGCACAGATAGAGATTGTGCTGTGATTTCAAGCCCGTGGCTCTCTTTTGGAATCTGTGGTTTTGTGGCGTGCTTACGTGGCCTATGAACCTACTCACGTGGCACTTTCCTCATTCTTTTGTAGGCACCTCGTATTTGACAGACATCGTGTGGTGGGCTGGCACCATTGCAAGTAAGTGTGTGTGTGAAGGCTGGCCGGTGTGCGTGGCAGGGCCAGGGCGCAGGGTGAGTGCGGTGCTGTGCTTGCAGAGGGCCCCTCCTCCTCCCAGCCCCCGCACACTGCTCCCATCCTCTCCTTCCCTGGGTGCTTCCTTCTGTAGGAAGGGAGGGGAAGGAGGGTGAGGAGTGTCCTCCATGGAGGAGGCTCTTGCTGCTCACAGCTGGTCCCGAATTGTGCCCAGGACACTGCCCTGGCCTGAACACGTCAGAACAGCTACCACATGCTCCTGTGTGGCCTTCAGGTGGTCTCCAGGAAACTCCCCGAGTTAGAGGCCTCCTTTCGCTCTGCATCGTCTGTTTAACAGAGGAGAGTTTCCTGTATAAAGTCAAATACAACATCCAAGGTCATGTGGTATAATGTAAAAACAAGTAATAAAATCAGCTCAGGGCTACAGTGAATACATCAGTGACAGTTTTATTAGAAATTTCAGAACTATCATAGCTTATTTGTCACAGCACGTTATTTTGGGAAGACTTACCTAGTTGAGACTGACTCCTGTGGTCTGTCTGGGAGAGTCCCGGGTGACCTGTGCAGGGGGCATGTTTCACTCAGCCCCACAGCCTGGTGCTGGACGGCTGCCTGCACTTGAGTAGGTCCTGGGCTGTGTGAGGGCACACAGGGAGCTCTGCCCCCTTGTTGGGGACAGGTTGGTCACTGGGTGCAGTAGTACAGTTTCCTGGTGAGCTGTCGCACGGTAGGATGATTGTAGATCAGTGATGGGGAAACTTTCAGAGAAGTGCCCAAACTGTAACCCAAAACCACTCATTAAACACAAAGCACCAACACTGCAGTGAAACCTGAACACTGAGGTTTCAGTTTAGAGAAAACAACTCAGACATTCACATCTTTTGTCTTAGAAGAAAAGCAAATAACATGCTTGCTGTAGGTTCACCATCACTTCATAGGTGATGATCATGTACTAGGTATTTCAGAAAGCCAGAAGAAGTGACGAATTCTAGTGGATAGACATTTAACCTGATTTAAACATTACGCAGTGTACTAGGGCATTACATGGTACCCCTTAAACATGTAACATTTTTATGTACATTTCATTAAAAAATAAGTAAAAATAAAGAGTACTGTAAGGAAATGAGCATGGTGGCACACACCATGATCCAGGCTCTTGGGAGGCTGAGGAAGTTCAAGGTCCATCTGGGCAATCTGTGAAACCTTTCAAAATTTTCTTAAAAGTATTTAAAAATTAAATTTAAAAAAACACCCAAGGATATATTGAGTGCATGATAGTATCACACCGACCTTCAGCCACTGTTGGTGACACTGGGTGTTTTCACAGAGGGCTGCAACTACACCCCAACCAACTGGACTGGTAAAGTTGTGGGGTTCACACCATGCCACCACGACCCTTAAACACACAGGTGATGTCCTGGATGCGCTTGTGCACAGGGAATGGGAAGCAGCCCTGTTAAGGGTTTTTTTTTAAGTACCGGTGATAGAACACATGACCTTGCGCTTTCCAGGCAGGTGCTTATTTGACTGAGCTACACTCCCGGCTCCCTGTTATGGTTTATGTCGGATCCCACTATCCCAAGTCTCATGCATTCCTGGCCCGGGTTGAATCTAGCACTTGTGATTGGTTCGCTGTCTAGCACTCTGATTGGTGGTGAGTGCCGCGCCCGCCCAGGGGTGGAGCCGACATACAGTGTGCCACCCCCAGAAGGCGTCTTTCTCTTGCCCTTTGTGCTTGCTGTCTGCTGCAGCTGCACCTCAGGTCGGTTTGCCTTGGAGCCTGCTGATTATGGACTGAAATCTCCAACCTGTGAGAAAGAAACCTTTCCTTCCCTAACTTTGGGCTCAACAATAAGAGAGAAGTAACTTAAGACAAGGCCTTTCAGAGCGAGGCCGGCAGCCTTGGGCTCTGCCATGTGCGTGAGCAGAGCGCGCTCTCACTGAGTGCTGTCCTTGTGTTCTCTCGACAGTGGCAGTTGGTCAGATTGGAAACTTCCTGGCGTACACAGCGGTCCCCACAGTCCTCGTAACTCCTCTGGGTGCCCTTGGAGTGCCATTCGGGTGAGAGCTGATGTTCTGCTATTTAGTGTGTAGTTTAGATAAAAATGCTTTTCATTTTAAATGTCTCTTAAAAATAAAATTGTAAGTAAAGTCTTCAGAATTCTGTATCATTTAGTTTTAACTCTTCTCTCAGAATTTCCTTAAGTGTAATCCAGGTTCTAGCTTGTGTGTACGTGTGCACCCGTACGTGTGCGTTATGTGTGCACACGTGTAGTGCTGGAGATCAAACCCAGTGTCGCACGCATGCTAGGCAAGTGCTGTACCATTAAGCTACTCCCACAGCTCCCCAAATCTAACCTATTCGTGCTTCTCAGGACTCTGATGCTGTTCACTCTCCTGGACATTGCCCTACTTAACTTCTTAGAAATCAGTCTTCTGCATACCCTGGCAAGTTCTTCTTTTTTTTCCTCCCCTGAAACAGGATCTCACTGTGCAACTAGGCTGGTCTTGAACTCACAGCAATCCTTCTGCCTCAGTCTCCTAGATGCTGGGATTAGAGGCATGGCCATCACACCTGGCTATCTTTGGGGAGTTATTCTGAGAACTCAAGAAGCAAAACACATCAGTTGAGCCAAGAGTAGCAGCACACGTCTGTAATCCCAGCACTTAGAAGGCTGAGGTAGGAGGATCACCGTGAGTTCCCAGCCAGCCTGGCCCTCAGAGTAAGCTCAAGACCAACCTGAACAGCATAGTGAAACCCTGTCTCAAAAGAGACAAAAAGGAAACACATCAGTTGGTGGTGGTGTTTCCCTTCCTGGATCCTGGCCCAACCCCCGACCTCACTCCAGGTCAGTACAGAGCCTGAAACCTCTGATGGATATGAAATAGGGTGCCTGGCACTGGCCAGAAGCAGAGGGATTCCTGGAATCCAGAGTGAACCGAGGAACGGGGGCTTTGGGTTTTTACAGTAGCTGCGTGCTTTGGGTCGGGCTTTGCACGTTCCAGCCACGGCTCTCATGGTTTAAAGTACCTGCCAGCAGTAAGGGGCTGAGGACTCAGGGCTGAGCGTTCAAGCAGCGTCCCATCAGGTCCGAAGGGGAAGCAAAGATGGAGCCTTGAAGCCTGCTAGTTGTCAGAAACCACAAATGAAGCCCCTTTTCTTTCTTTCTTTTTTTTTTTTTTTATTGCTGTCAATTGCTGTGTTTTGTTTTTGGTACAGGGTCTCACTATGTGTCCAGGTTGGTCTTGTACTCACTAGATAGCCCAGGCTTGTAATCTTCCTGCCTCAGCCTCCTGAGTGCTCAAATTACAGGCATGTATCACCACGCCAAACTGGAGCCCCTTTTTATAAACTTCCTGTCAAAATATGTGAGACCAAGTAACCTTTCTACATGAGAGGTTTTAGCTCGGCTCTTGATTCTGGGCGCTTGAAAGACTGATTCCTGTCAGCCACACCTCGTAGGGCCACAGGCTGCTTCCTTACGTGGCGGAAAGCAGAGGAGGCAGCGCAGAAGGGCCTCCTGGATGACCGCCCTCCCTCCTGGCTGGTCAGTCCTGTGCAAGCCGCCTAACGCTACATGATGAATCCTGCGGCTGGGAGTTTGGGCAGGAGCAAACCATATCCAAACTATGGAACTTCGCTTACTACGAAGGTTGTTTATGAGGTGCTTACTAAATGGATGACCACATTTCCCCTTGAGAGCACACTTATGTTCTTTATCATTGAAGAAATCATTCATAGGCAGAGATAAGGCGGTAGAGGAGAAAACAGCTTCCAGCACATTGGAAACACTGGTTTTCAGCTGTATCCTGCCCCCTGTCTTTCAGAAACGCATCTCTGCCAATGTTCGCGTAAGCTTTCAGGTGCTGTGGTAACCACTGTGGGGTTCACATGTAGCACTTTGAAACGTGTTTTGTAGCTTGTTGCTCCTCTTTAGCCTGCATGTCAGGGTGGCTTGGCATCCCTGTGTTTTTTCTTTCTCTTTTCTTTTCTTTCTTTCTTTCTTTCTTTTTTTTTTTTTTTTGGTACCAGGAATCAAACTCATGACCTTGCGCCAGGCAGGCGCTTATGCGGCTGAGCTAAACCCCCAGCCCCACTGTGTTTTCAGTGCCCCTGAAGAGCTGCAAGGGCAGGCATGGGGCCGTGTCCCAGTGCATTCCAGTGGCCCCCCAGCCACACTGCGGAACCTAACCAGGCCAGGCTGCCGGCATCATCTTGTAAGGGCCATGCTCGTACACTCGAATCATTAATGATTTCACCAGCGGTCCCCCTGCTCCAAGTCTGCAGGAGGCGTCCACCCAAGGAACTGTGGGACGTGGTATTTTGTATAAAAAGCCTGCCTTCACCTAAGGATCCCAGTGTCCTGGCCTTTCCTCCGCTCTCCTCCCTGCCCCTTTCTTTCCTTCCCCTTCTTTTCTCTTTTCTTTCTTTTTTTCTGATACCAAGCTTCAAACCCAGGGCCATACACGTTAGGTAAGCAGTGTGCTGCTGAGCTCTATCTATAACCCAGGGCCATACACGTTAGGTAAGCAGTGTGCTGCTGAGCTCTATCTATAACCCAGGGCCATACACGTTAGGTAAGCAGTGTGCTGCTGAGCTCTATCTATAACCCAGGGCCATACACGTTAGGTAAGCAGTGTGCTGCTGAGCTCTATCTATAACCCAGGGCCATACACGTTAGGTAAGCAGTGTGCTGCTGAGCTCTATCTATAACCCAGGGCCATACACGTTAGGTAAGCAGTGTGCTGCTGAGCTCTATCTATAACCCAGGGCCATACACGTTAGGTAAGCAGTGTGCTGCTGAGCTCTATCTATAACCCAGGGCCATACACGTTAGGTAAGCAGTGGGCTGCTGAGCTCTATCTATAACCCCCATTTTTTCTTTAATAATAAACGTTGGAAAACTGGTAAGCATTTTGTTATGAGTATCAGTTTAAATTCTAATCATGGCAGCATCAAAAGATGCCTAACTCTAACCGGGGAACACAGTGGCTGTCGCGTTCAGCAGTTTGCTGGCCTGGGTGGTACTTGGTGGACCACTCCGGCACTGACCCTCAGCAGCAGTGCAGAGGCTGGGGCATCACACAGGGCCACACCAGGCACAGTGGTCCACTGTGTCCTCATCCCCCGCCCACGCTGGGGCACAGAGCCCCACGTCACGCACCTGATTTTCCCTGAGCAAACCTGCATCTCTAACATGACCTAGAGTAAGTCACGCAGAGGATCATTCTACATTGCTTAAAAGGAAAAAAAAATGTGCAGCATAGACCATGTATATAAGAAAAGTCCTTCTGTTTTCACATCTTGAGAAAATAGAATCTTTTTCAGACTTATTAAAGAATAGGTTTCTAAAGTTGTAAGCAATAAAAATTAAAAAGTTAATTTTTGACAAAAAATAAATAGGGAATAAACATTTCAATCCAGTATGATAGTGATTAAAGCTAGGTTAGACTATCAATGTCAGTGTTAGCAGGAGAAAATACTTGAGAGCTACACCACAGTGGAGGGCAGGTTATTTTGGCTCACTGAGTGGGGTGATTTGCCCATGGCCAGCCACTGTGGTGGACAGCACCTGCAGGTGGACCTTGCAACAGCCAGAAGCAGGAGGAGAAGAGAGGTGAGGCCAGGACAACCCCTTCCAGGTCATCCCCAGGGACCACCTGCACCCAGGCCCCTGGGTACATCAGCCATGGCCTCACGAGCAACCCAGTCACCATTCTGAACCCTGTTTCTAAACACGGCTTTGGGGATCATCTTAGATCCAAACCATAACAGATAGGAAGAAGTCCCTTAAATTCACCAAAATAACATGAAAATCCCGGTAGACGAAATGGAACACGCACGGACAGTTCACACGTAATGAAAACACATTATGCCACTAATAGTAAACCCCATTTTCAATAAAATGTGTGGTAAGCAACTAAATAAGTACCTCTGTGTTTAGCAGCGATTTGAAAGATAATAAAAATAGGGGCTGGGGATTTAGCTCAGCGGCATAAGCACCTGCCTTGCAAGTGGGCGGTTGTGAGTTTGATCCCAAGTACTAATAAAAAGAAAAGAAAAAGACGAAAGATAATAAAAATGTTAAAAGAGTAACCTGGAGCCTGGGGTGGTGGCCATGCCCATAATCCCAGCATTGGGAGGCTGAGGCAGGAAGATCCTCATGGAGATTGAGGCCAGCTTGGGCTATATAAGCAAGTTCAAGGTCAGCCTGCACTACATAGTGAAACCCAGCCTCAAAACAAAACAACAACAACAAACCAAAAAAAATCCTGGACTGCATGGGAAATACTTCAAAGAATCAGCAACTGGGATTTCATCTTATTAAAAGACTTTGCATATCAAAAAAAATCAACAGTAAAATGACAACCCTTATAGCTAATTGTCCCTCAGACAAAGAATTTAAAACTAGGACATACAAAGAACTGAAAAAAGATCAAAACTTCCCTAATTCAAAGACCCATCCAAAAATGGGCATATGAGATGAATATGTACTTTCCAGATGAAATGTGAATGGCAGATAAATACATGAAAAAAGTGTTCAACATCATTGGTCATTGAAGAGATGCAAATTAATACAATACTGAATTTGGGCACGACAGTGTGTAATGTGTGTACCATTGTTACACCAATTGACGTACTTTGAAATTTTATTGTAAATTTTGTTTTTCTTTTTCTATCTTTCTTTATTTGGTACCAGGGATCGAACTCACAACTCCCTGCTTTCAAGGCAGGCGCTCATGCCACTGAGCTAAATCCTCTATGTCTGTATCTTGTACTCTGAGTAACTACTTTGAAGATAATATACAATGTATTAACTATTGTTTATTCTACTATTTTGTCATGAAATTTTGTTTCACTTTGTTTTCCATGAAGAGTAGCTGGAAAGGGGCTGGGGGTTTAGCTCAGCGGCATAAGCGCCTGCCTTGCAAGCAGGCAGTCGTGAGTTCGATCCCTGGTACCAATAAAAACGAAAAAGACCAAAAAAAAAAGATTACCATTATGCCTCTTGCTATCTTAAAAAGAGTTGCCTATATCTTCAGGTATAATAGAATTGAAC